AATTACGTATATAAAAGCTAAGCTTCATCATACTTTTAATTATACATTTCAAACACAGTATTTTCCCACATAGCCAATGATCTATATAAAACAAAAAACTGCTTTTAGTCTATTTGGATGATGGACAGTTTGAAGCGTTGAGTGAGTCTGTATTAGGTAAACTACATGTTAATCACCAACATTTTGGTTATGATATTAATACTAATGTTATTATATTAAAGCAGGGGTGGGGAACCTCCGGCCCCCGGGCCGTATACGGACCGCTAGACCATTTGGTACGGCCCTCGAGGTAATTTATAAACAAAGTGGCCTGTGCCTGGTGGTGGGGCCCAATGTGATATATTTTCATGGGGCCCAAAATCCCTGGCGGCGCCCCTGGGCGGATCCGGTCAGAGGGAAGCAGATACAGACAGCATCACCACAAACACGTGCCTGTGTGTTTGAAGTATATTACATTCTATTTGTATGATTGTATTACTTGTGTACTTTATAAATGTAATGTATTATTATTATTATTATTATTGTTATTAGGAGTCATTTCCCCTAAGGTTAAAGTTGTATGGATCGCTGAGAACCACTCAGATGTTTGCACACATCCAAATGTCTCCCACTTGGGTACCACTTTACAATAAGACCCTTATAAATGGTTTACGAATAGTTTGTAATTCATTTATTAATTAGGTTGTGAACACTTTACAAATCATTAATAAACTTTGATACAACATGAGATAAACAGGGCAACTGTGACCAGTTGCTTGCCAAATAGTGAGCCCACATTTATCTGTACTGCTAAGCCTTATATTGGCTACCTTCATCTTCTTCATCAGCAGCATCCTTGGTATCTGTTGTTCACTGAGTTGATTCTCACTAAGTAGCCAATATACTGTATCAATATGTATTACATATATATATATATATAATATTACATATTACATACATATATGTATACAACATCGTGCCAAATAGTGAGCCTGTGTTGATGTATATAACTGGTTTATAAATGGTTCTTAATGATTAATAAAGTGTTTGAAACCTAATTCATAAACTAATTATAAGCCCTTTATGAATCCTTTATAATGGTAGTCTTATTGTAAAGTGGTACCCCCACTTGCTATACTGCCCTGACATACATTACATTAGCTTTAGAAATGACTCTGGGTAATATGTGTGACCTGGTAATCATAAAAAGTGTTTAAAGATTTGATTGTTGATTTCGGGTGTCATTAACTCCTAAACGCTGCCAGCTGATCCAGCTCAGTACAATGGGGGCGGAGTTTTAAGGACAAGTGCGCGAAACAATACAACATCTGTTCACATCTGGTGACACACTGTCACACACAGCCAGGAAACACAAATGTGGAATGGGCAGATGCTGAGTGTCGCTGCAGGGGTCTAATGGACCTCTCAACTTTGCCAGGTAAAATACAAAATATAACTTGACAACATTAACTGAACCACAGCTGTTATTTCAAGGGATATTCTCTGTCTTCGGTCCTTCATTCAAGTGGATGATTAAAGTAAACAATTTGTTAGGCCCTGACGATTATATGACAGAACGAAACAAGAAGATTATTAAAATATCCTTCAGATTTGAGTCGTTTCCTCACTCTTTGGTATGACATCAAATCCCACTCGCCTTTAAATTGTCTTTACTTTAATCAATTTTATCAGTCATATGAGATATGTTGTCATGCATGCACAAATATATTAAGCGTAGCAAGCATACAACCAAGTTTAACCAACAGAAATCCACTTATCAGGGTTTTCTCAATGCCATATAAGAAAAAGTCCTTACTATATGACGTTAGCACTCTGTCCTGGCCGTAACTCAAACAGCCCTAACGCAGTGATTTGGCTATTGGCAGACTGCTTGAAAATTCAAATCATTGAGTGAGGAACATTAGCCAAAAATGGCCACAGGCGTTTTCGTGATTTCTTTCATTTGCATCAGCATAGTCTATTAATGGTTACAAGTGGCACAGCCCCACCTAGTGTCAGCAGAAAGTATTAAAAATAATGATTACAACAAAATGCAAAAAAAAAAATATAGATCATGTTTAATGCCTCGACTATCTGCGTTTGAGTCCATCTCCTGCTGCCTCACACTCACCTGAATGACAATGAAACCTTCAATTCATAATAAACTTTACATGTACATAAATGGGAAGAGCTATCTGTGTTTTATTGGGCTTTGTTGTTTTGATGATTGTCATACTACTTTTAATTATTTGATGTAAGATTATATACAGTACTCTTCCATTTACATTTTTTTGTAATATTGCAAGATAGATTTAAGTTTTAGTCTGAAAATGCTTGGAACTTTTAGTATTATTTTACTATTTTAGTATTCAGATGGGATTGGCTTTTCTTTAAAGACTCATTGCAAACCTTTTCTTCCTCTTCTTTCTATCTCATGTTGTTTGCATTCATCATAAGGGAAGAACATTAGAAAGGAAGAAAGCAATTACATTTTCAAAGGGACGAATTACAACCAACTGACGAAGTAAAAGTAAAAGGCAGATGATAATTGTTTACTTTCATGCAAACAACAGTTGACTTGGTGTCTGTTCCCCTGATCTCCATGTCTAGTAAAAGTAGAAAAGATTGAGTAAAAATGTATTGTTTTTCTTATAACACTAACTGCAACCGGCATTGGCTCTACTGTACGGGGAAATATCTAAAGCACCATTTTAAGTCTTATATGGCAGAGCTGATTTCTATTTGAATGCCTTGTGTTTTAGTTGTCTTGCCACAAGATGGAGCTATGTTCTAAGTGAGAAGCCTCAGCACGTTTCAAAAGAGAAAGAGGACATTTTTCATATCTTTATATTATGCAGCATGTCTTTTCAGGACTCCTTCAGAACAATCTTTCCTTATAGCACCCACCAACATGTTATTGTACAAAATATCCGATTCACCTTCAGACAGGAGCAGTTGGGTCTACTCTAGTTGAAGAGCAACTTCCAGGTTAAAGACACCTGTGAATACATTTATAGGAAAATGATGAATACACTAGATTTTCAAAAAAATATACAGAAATATACACTACAGTGACATCTGGCGTCGTTTTTGTAAGAAATGTTCACTTCCGCATAAAAAAACCTCGGCACGTGACTTCCCGCGTGTGACGTAACATGGGGGAAACAAGGGGGAGAGCGGCCGGTGTAACGTATTAATAAACATGGATCCCAATGCTAGTTTCGACACAGAAGAAGTTGAACATGAATATTCAAATGTATATGACGGACCACAACCTTATAATTATGAGCCTGCTAGGCGTCCAAGAGACCAGGAGCAGCCAAGGATTAGAAGAAATAACGGCCATCGGAGAGAAATTGAGCTCTGGTGTTTGGAGAACCAGTGGAGAACTGGGCAGCTATCTTGGTGAGTGACCGGCGTTAGCTACCAAATGTTAGCTAACGTCACATCACAACATTGTGAAGTTAGCTATCATACATCAGGCTAAAACTAAAGTAGCATTGATAATATAGTAACGTTACTGGCAGGACTGTTGACCCATAACATAAACTAATGCGCATCAGCCGTATCTTGCGTTACCTAATGCAACTCCACACTGCGGTGCTGTGTACCGTGGAGGGACGCGTGTATGAGAGGGTCGGAAATAGTCCTTTGCGCATAATGTAGAGAGTAGGGTGTGGGGGGAGCACAGAGAGAGAGAGAGGGGAAGGCCTTGTGACGTGGCATTTCTGTATCACACCTCAACGTAATCGCGATTGCGACACGCACCGACAATGCGACGAGGTCGGGGCAGAGGAAACACAAACCAAACAAAGGGGACAGACAAACAAACACAACAACGCACACCACCGACGAGTGAGGACCGGAGGGCGAGTTGTATGAGTGACGGACGGTTAGTCGACACGTGGGGAGCTACATGTGTGGGACGAAAGGTAGGTTCGTAAATGTGCCGTCATAGTGCCTACCGAGGTGTTGGAAAAGAGCGGCTAGCAGTTCATAGTCGAGGCATAAGCGAGC